TCTTTCTTTTTTTTTTTTTAACAAATAAAACCTTCTACTTTGGTGAATCAAGTCCTATCATCTAAAACGCCTCAGGAGTTTGCAATATAAAGAATGGAATGTTCCGGAGACTGGAGGGATCCCCCTGCCGTGCAGTAACTGCACCCCAGGAACCAGTCTAGCAGGCCGGTTTTTCATGCTGACATTCTCAAAGGGCCCAAGAAAAACCTGGCTAATGTGAACTAGTCCCATAAAGATATCATGATCTTTGCCCTTAATTTGTTCCCTGCCCCAACTGATCCAAAGTATCAGACATCTTGAAGAAGGGGCTCTTTTCTGTCCATTTTGGAGACCCTTGACATTCCATGGAGTTTTCATTAAAATTCTCTTGGTTATTTTTGGAAATGAAAAGAATGAGCTGGTTTAACTATTACTTTGCTAGGAGAAAAAAAGAAAAAATGAACATTTACTTTCTCTCAGAAGTGATTTTCACCTGCTAGGAAGCCAGACTGACTCATTTGAACGTCAGACCTCACTTCCCACGGAGGTCTGGCTGGGGGCTCTCCGGGCCGCCCTGGCACCCCATTCCTTAGCTGCCTCCTTCGACAAACGACTGAGACTCCAGGGGACGCCCTTCCACAATACCGGGGCTGTGGGGATGCTCTGGAGGGTGGGCACGCAGACATCCTGGTTTCCTCCCAGCTGAGGGCATCTGTGCTTCCCATCAGGCACCTCACCCACACGGTAGCAGGTGTCCTGAGCGCTACCTATGTATGAGGTTGAACTGCATGAAGCTACTGTTTTATAAGACACAGGAATACCAGAAGTTTCCTCTGGTTAAACCCTCTCCTGGGGGTGGGGTGGGTCCGAAGCTGGTGTTACCAGGTTTTTCTTGTGATGGAGTCAAAGAAGGCGTCAGGTAGCCAGTGCTACGGGGGTCACCGCATGCTACGGGGGACCGCGTTGCGGGGCTCCTGTCCCCAGAAAGGGTGGACAGGCCCGTGCAGGAAATGGTGTGATGATGTGCATCTTCACGGAGGACTGAATCCTTCCTTAGACCAGCTTCCGCCCCGACGCAGAGGCCGCCACCCTGTGTCCCTGCATCTCCAGGCCCTGCTCTGCCTCTCAGGGAGGCCACTGGCCCTGGAAAGCCATTGAGAGCTGCCACGTGGAGGTGACCTCCCCTGTCCGCTTGGCCATATGCGACCCGAGCAAGGCTGTGCTCAGGGCTCAGCTGCAAGCAGGTTCACAGACAAATCAGCAATTGTGAAATTAAGTGATTTGATGACCGGTTATATTTAATAAAGCTTTAAGGAAAAAAACCACCCGATGGCTTTAAACTCTGGGACCACGGGAGACA